TTTGAAGTGAATTTTCTAGAAATTTGATACGTGGCTCTACACTTGATTATATTCCTCGATTTGGTTATTTCATTAATTGCATTTACGTTGATGTATATGTGTTGGTATCACAATAAGTCCAGTTGAGTCTAGCGTTCATTTTGAGTAATCGAGCATTGAATTTGTTAGTGTAGCGTTAACAAGAGTACGATCTGTATGATGTTTGACGGATGTCTCTCCTCCACGTGTATATTGACTTCCGTATGTAAGTTGCATTTTCAGAAAAAATTATGTAGTCTTATTGAGAGGTGTACTTCCCGTTAACTTAAAGGTGAAAAATTTTTCGTGCAGTTGGATATCTGTTGGCAAGGTATAAGTTTTTAGTGGTCATAAACTCCTTAAAATTTGATCGCGTCATCTGTTATACTGGTGTAGCAGAGAATTTGCGTCTCTGCAGATAGGCGTCTGGTAGGAATCTATGATTTTCCTATATCTTTTTGTTATCTTTGCTATATTTATGGTATATTACGATTTTCCATCTTATATGTAGTTTTTGTGGGTGTTTTAGAAATATATTTTTCTAGTGATAGAATTCAGTGTTTGTTTATACGGAATATATCTAATGGTTCAAGAATAGTTTGTAAATATATAGTGCTGCATTTTATATTCTGTATGCTCATAGATCCTTTTGTAATGTCGTCGTTTTGATTATCCAGTCCACTATGGAGGCTCTGTCTATTCCTAAAAAATGCTGCTCAACAGCATGTGTATGTGTCCCGCCATTGTGTTTGTCTTGTGATTATTCCGTATTGGTGGCACTTACCGATTGCTGGTTTTGGGGTCTTGAGGTGGTCAGTATTTAATGAGTTATCTGAGTGATTTGGTTAATAATCTTTTTCGATGTCTGCAGAGGTTTCTCTTACATGCTGCTGTGGACTTTTTTGTAATGGTTTGTCCTTTTGCTGTTGTTGTTTTTGGTTTGTATTTGTATTTGCATTAGATTATTTAGTCTTTGATTATGCATATTATTTTACCCTGGATGATACGTATGATGTGCTATTTTGTTATATGGTGGGATCGTTAGATGCTGGACATGTATGACTGGTGTGGCTTGGTAAGGTGTCCTTATGTATGGATTGCTTAAGACTTGTGGTTTCATATTTTGATATATATAAGATGTTGAGTTAGATGATGAGTGGTACGTGTTTGAATTTCATACTAATTGTTTTGACTGGCGCTTTGGTAGTACTGTTGTTTACCCTTACGCCTGGATTTTACTTACTTTTTTATTCTGTCTGCATTAGATGAAGCTTACATTTCAGTTTATTTATCTCAGCGCTCTATTTAATTCGCAGACTCTTAATATGCATTTGGTTTTGGAAATCCACTATTAACTTATCAGTTTGATGTTCCATATATATTCTAGTGCACTGATCTAATGTGTCAACGGTGGTGGGTTGTATTAGCTCCTTAGAACAGACTTACGTCGTTGGTTCATGTCTTTCATATTTGTTTTTCGTAAATTGTTTTGTTATAAATAAGGCCGTTAGTTTTCTCAATTGAATTATTTCAGTCATATTTTTCATGTCGGGGCCTGTTATAGCCGACTATACGGTATGGGTTTTTCTCATTGTTGAAGGCCGTACGGTTGCCTATAATTGCTTACATCCACCACATTTGAGCTTTGTTGGATAGTTGTCTCATTGGCAATCATACCACATCTCCTTATTAAGTGTCGTGGCGGTATATGTTGAGTTTCCAAGTGAATAATCAATCATGACCTCGTCATCGTTTAGACTTTTGCATGGTTTTGTTTGATTGATATGTATACTTCAACTGTCCGGCATGATTTGATTCATTAGTCAGTAGTACATTCTCTACAGTGGCTTACTGGCTTGTTTTTATACGCCGGTGTATTCCTGATTACCATTCCTCTTGGAATTCGTTATAGTATTTATATATAGCATGGTTATGTAAGTTATATAAACCTGCATTAGATGTTATGACTAGAGTTCCAGCCTTCAATGATATTTTTAATTCAGATCCTCTCTCAGCATTGTCCGTTTTCTCATATAGGACTTTTCTTCCGACATTAGTTTTGCTGGGGTTTTACTTGATAGATGCAAGGAATTGTATAATATTATTATACAAATCCTTGATACATGTTACTTGACATATTCATTAAAGGTTCGTTGTTTAGTCTTAATGTCCTTGCTGCTTTATTTCCAAGCCTGCTATTATTTTCAAGTCGTACCGTTTATTTGGCCAGTTTTTTACCTTTTTTTATTCGAGCGTCACTGCATGGTGAGTCTTTTGTAGTCGAAACGAGCGTCTGACGTTCAAAATTGTAAGCCAGGAGTCGGTTTCACACAAAAAACTTACGACTAAGATTGATCGTAAGTCATGAAATATTATCCAAAATTTGATCGTTGTTATTATTGCAGTAGTTGTAAGGATCACAAATCAGTCTTAGTAGTTCTATGTTATTGACACAATTGCTCTGGGAGAAAATTCTACTAGCCGTTATCATTATTCTTTCTAATATGGGTTTTCTTATAGCATCTAAAGTTACACATGTAAGCAGGAAATGAGATAATGATTCTTCTCCATTTTTGCATAGTTGACATGTTGGGTCCACTACATTAGAATTATATTTGGCTCTTTGGGATTGTAGGATGTATCCTCCTGTAGCGATTTTCACTCGAGGTGGCAATTTTTGTACTAGTTTAGGGTCAGAAGTGGATATACTGACCAACGGATGACAATGACCAAGTCTGTATATTGGAGCTAAGTATTGTAAGCTATTGAAATTTTCTTTCTCATCCAAGATCTTTCTATGCCAGTATGTTTTAATTTTGTTGACCATGCTTTTTTTCCATGTTTCTTTAGTTGTTACAGTATCCAAAAATTCTACAGGATCTGTTAGTTGGTATTTAATACAGATTTTCTTTGCATCAGTATGAACCAGCTGTTGCTTTTGCACGATTTAATTTTTAATTGACGATTGGCGATTTTCCATTCAACGGTTGATTTGTCAGAACATAGAATATTTCCAAGTAATGTAATAATTTTAATATCTATTTCAGCATTTATGGGTAGTAATCCAGATAATAAATATATACCTGGGTCTGCAGTTGATATTGGTAAAGATAAGGGGACGACCATTTGATATTCTGGGGGGGGGGCCAGGAGGATTTGTTTCTGATCGGTTATTTATTTTTGTAAACTAAGAGGACAGATTATCTATTTTCTGCACTGTTGAAGCAAGATTTTTCATTTTCATTAAAGCAAGGGACTGATTATTTATTTTCACAACTATATTTATAATATTTGAAAACATACAATTTTTAAATTTATTTTTTATTATAAATAATACATGAATAGTCCAATCATTATATACCATTTAATCAGAATTAATCATCATCATCTGTAGAAATGAATCTTCTGAATTCCCAACTGCATATACATGTATTGCATACATACAAGATATCAAAGTTTGGCTGTAATTAGTGTCTTTTAAAAGTATTGCAAATCATTTAAGCCGAGCGGAGCGAGGCTAAAAAAATTTGAAGGGTTTTGGAGCCGCTGAAGGCCCCAAGTTGCTATAGAACTAATGATGCAAAATGTGTTTCCCATACCCTTTCTTAATCTGAAAATGAAAGTTCTGTTTTAATCATTTTTTGACAATATTTTGGTCTCAAAGCAACATGTATAGATTCAGTGTAAGACTTAAGTTTTTAGGAACAACATCAAAAGACAAAGATAAAGCAAAAATTTAATTCACATAGTTAAGTATGTGGCTGCTGTTTTTTTTTTAAAACTCTTGATCAAGTTAATAACAAAATTACTAAATTACAAAAGGAATGCAACACTAACAGAATACAGAAGGGCAATCAATGAACAAAAGACAAATAAATAAGAAACATTGATCCCCAAAAAACAGGATCTACGTCTGAGGGAGAACAGAACTTGCTTCTTGCAAGACACTTGATGTGAAAACAATTTGATATGAAGACAAGCTTTTGGTTTTGAAATTTCCTACATGAGGCATTTGCCTGAATGTAGTTACTGCCATATGTAATAAAAGTGAGTTAAGTGTTCCTGAGACAATATACCTCAAGTTAAATGAAACCCATTTTTCAGACATTTCAAGTATTTTATTAATATTTATACTTTTATTATTCAAAGATTTGGGAAGTGATTCCCGATTTATTTTGAAAAAAAAAGTTGAATTTTATGAAGAATCTGGTGCAATCTCATGCTCTCAAATAGACCTGCCGAGTTATTTATTTTTAATACATTGCAAGTCAGGTTATTTATTTTCAAACTACCACAGAACAAACCATTTATTTTTGTGATTATCAAGGCTGAGTTATTTATTTTCAAAATCCTCCTGCCCCCCCCCCCCCCCCCCCCCCAGAATATCAAATGGTCGTCCCCTAAGATTTGTTTAATCATTTTCTTGTAGAAAGATTGTAATATTTTCAAAGATTTGCTGTTGGTCATTATAACATCCACTCCATATAGTAGGATGGGCATAACATAGGTTCTGAAAGTGGATATAGATGTAGATGGGTCTAGTCCATTTTCTCCATGCAAGCCACTTGCCATTAAACTGTATAATGCTCTTCTTGTCTTCTTAATATTTTCCTCCGCTGTTACTAGTTGTGTGTTACAGTTTGATCTTTGTATCCCAATATGTGTGGTTTTATCAACCGTAGGCATTTCCCTCTCATCCATAAGGAGTGTCATATCATTGTGGGTGATGGTGTTGGTTTGTATAGGTAGTACAACGCTTTTAGTAGGTTGTATAATATATGATTCTCTTTTGCCGTAGTCGTTAGCTATGTTGACTAGTATTTGCGCTTCGAACTGAGAGTTACTTGTTATGGTAAGATCATCAGCGCAAGTAGGCGCACTACAGTTGATCGTTCCAATATCTATACTATGATGAGTTTATATACAAATACAAATTCAAAATATATAAGACGGAAATACTACGTAATTGATCCGATGCCGAAACAGTGAGCTCTTTCGTTTGAAGGAGGAATAATTGTTTTGGTTGAAAATTTCTTCCTATTTACATTTACAAGGAATCAGCAGAAACCAAGGAGTTTACAGGTTGAATAGTATGTTAAACTTACTTTTTACATTTTTTTTCAGCTGATTGCCTGCTGCAAACATATGCATACTTTTCATAAAAGAGCACGGTATACCCATATTTGTCCAGAAATGTGTTCTAAAATCATTTACGATGAGATTGTTTGCGCATTCGCAAGGACGCTATTGATTAAGCTCTATAGAAGGGTTCTGAGAAATTGTACTTATGAAAAAAAAAATATTGTGAGAGCTGCTGTGGACAAATAGGGACACGAGTGAAATCATCCACATAACTACTTACTAGAAAACAAAAACTTGTTATCTTTGAATATACACACTGTACATGAGCACACATTACAATCAACAGATAAAGCGAAATGTCTTGACATTAACATCACAAATTATCTAATAATGAACTCGCCCACAAAAAGAGGACTTTCAAAATCAAAGCATTTTCCCATACAATGTTACAACGCTTAAATGTTATTACGCCACATGTACAGTCTGAGAGTCACAGAGTAAAAGTAGATTGTTCAATAACATAATTTATGCTGATTGACCTTGGGTGAACCAGTGTAACTCATTCCTAAAAAAGAACTTGAAATTGGTCGATAGCATCACCAAAAAAAACCCCATTACTAATATTCATTAAAAGGAATGAAAAGACCATTAGCATGAAAACTTAAAAACTAGCTTATAAATCATATTTCCGACCAAAACTAGAATTTTGAAGTGTTGACTTTGGCCCCTGGTAGGAACGACCTAAATAAAATTGAAATGATTCAGAGAAGAGCTTTCAGGTATACATTCAATCAAATTATACAGCAATTAGTGTAAGTGCAATGCTTGAACATCTCCAGCTGACCAACACTACAACGAAGAAGAGAGCATAAGTTTGTACAGCCATTTTCTCCCACAAATTACCATTCATTTTCCCTTTTCTGAGGGCAATGATGTTGTGGAATTCCTTACCAAACCAGGAAGCCAGTATACGTAGCCCAGACCTAAATGCTTTCAAGTCTGGAGCACAATCCATTTTCATGTATTTCTAAAAGAAATATGTATGTTTTTTTATCTATATACAAAAAAGAAAGAAAAAAGTTTTGAAATTTATGGTAAATATATACATACCTGCCAAATTTTCACAATCTCCATGAGTGATTTTAAGTGCAAGAGAACCTAATACTTCTCTTATATTGTCATAAGTGTTGAAGTTCTTAATCTACTACTATATTGTTTGATTTAGTATATATGTGCTTCAATACCCTTTTAACTCATTTGAATGTCTGTTTTGAGGTGTTCTGTTTATATGATAAAGAATTTCAAAATTCAGGTCAACACTTCTCATGGGGAATATACCTCATAAATCGGGATAGTTGGCAGGTCTGTAAATATGTTCAGATTTTAGTTTCCTGAGCATGTGCCTTCTTATAATCTTCAATATATTAATGTACATAAGAAGTATTTTGTAAACATGGTAAATGTAGAGATATGTATACTATTAAGACTATCCCTGTAACTAACATTTATCATGAATACATAGCCTAAAAAATTAAGATTACTGAAATTACATGCCTTTTATGTGAACTAAGACAACTTTGTCCTCTGAATATAGCTGCAGTAAAGAAAAATTTTGTTATGGCCTTATGTCCCAGCCGGAACAAAGAGGATAGGTACATGTAGGTATAGAAAAATATTAAAAACATGCTAATGTATGTCTCTATCATGCATATTTATTCTATAGAAAATGTTATATGTTTTTTTTTCAGAACATAATGTACCATAAGGGGGGTGAAGGGAAAACCAAAGGGTTTGGTTTTCAAAGTTTTTCAGTTGGCAGTAGTAAGAAAGATGAACACAGTATTGGTTCAGACTTGGCTGGGTTAGGTATGGCCCCACAGAATACATCATCTAAGTCTATGCCAGGTCGATCATTTGGATATCATACAAATCTTGGTAAAAAGAGGGCAAATAATGAAGATGAGTGAGTATTTTCATGATTAATAATATGATACTAAGTCTTCCATAGTTATTTAAATTGTTGATGTGCGATTCCAGGGTAGGAAACTCACTGGAAATGTCTACCAGACCACTGGGCTGGCTGCATAAAAAAATTACCTGTCCTGATCAAAATTTACCAGCCCTGAAAATTAATGCAATAAAAATCAAACCCATTTTCCTTCAAGATTCTATATTATGTTTTTGTGTTTTGAGATGTTTTAATGACTAGAAGTATTATTAGATAAACCTGAGGATTTTTTGTGATGAAAATGACTTATGACTGCTTTTGTAAATACACACTGCAACAAGACTTACAAGTGCACATTTAAGCAGACACTGCTAAGCCTAATGACCATTTGTTCAGAAGCAAGGTGTGATTTAATTTTTAGAATTTGGGGTGGGCACTGGGGGTGTTAGTTTGTCTTCAGTGTAATTCAGCATGCCTTTGTTTGTACCTTTGTTCCACAAAATTACTTTTAAGCAAATAAAAATAAAATTTTGGTTTCATTTATAATTTTATTGCTCCTCATTTTCACAATATTTGAAACTCAACCACTCGAACTCCGTTTTCCAACCAGGAACAATTGTCCTCTTCCTCTTAGACTGATCGTACAATTTATTTTTTTCCTGTTGAGTCAACAGCAGTTCGCTTTTTCGGCGACGAAAAGCCCAAGTACTGTCGTAAAGACATGAGATTACCAAAACAAATTTGTACTTTCGATTTCCTCTAATATTTATTTTTTATTTAATAAACGCGATCGCGATAGGACGATTCGATACCAACTAGCCAATGAGTGCGGATTTTACAAACAACAGGTATCACCATGTTCCCTGCACCATGTTCCCTTGCCTCAACCAAATGTTATGAAACTTATACACAATGCGTATTACCACAAAACACAGATCAGTTTTGAATTTTGGTGGTGTCACTTTTACCGTTCTAGAGTTATGCCCCTTTACAAATGGAAAAATTGCTGAATTTTTCGTTTCCTTTCTCTAACTTTAGTTTGCCTCAAATAAATGTTATGAAACTTATAAACAATGCTTATTACCATAAAACTTGGATCAAGTTCAAATTTGGGTAGCGTCACTTTTACAGTTCTTGAGTTATGTCCCTTTATAACTTTATATGCAAGCGGGGGCATCATCTGTGTCCCATGGACACATTCCCCATTTCTTTGCTAAGATCATGAAACAACAATTTCTATCAAGTTTTTCTTTTACTTACCTGTGGAATTTATTGTGGAAGCTCGTGCTATCATGAATGTTACAATTCATTTTGAAATGAAGGTTAATTTCAGAATGACACGAGAGTGCTGTTAGCCAATCAAAATAACGTATTATAATGAATCATACATGTAATGTAATTATTTCTATTTTGTCTCATTGACATCTACCTGATAACCAATCAGTGATGATAATTTTCATAATTTATATTTGGTAAATTTCAGATATTTTGACCAGGAAGATGAAGAAGAAAATTTAGAATATCAACCTGCTCCAGGTAGCCCAGGGGCTGATAGCAAAAACAAAAAAGATGACAGTGACAGTGATGATCCTTTAGATGCCTTTATGGCTGATATTGAGGTAATTATAAACCATATATGGGTAAAGATAGTAAAGTTAAAAAGATGACAATGACTATGATGACACACAGGTTGCTTTCATGGCTGATATTGAGGTAACTATAAACCATATGTGGGTAAAGATAGTAAAGATAAAAACATAACATTGACTATGACGACACACAGGTTGCTTTCATGGCTGATATTGAGGTAATTATAAACCATATCTGGGTAAAGATAGTAAAGTTAAAAAGATGACATTGACTATGATGACACACGTGTTGCTTTCATGGCTGATATTGAGCTAACTATAAACCATATCTGGGTAAAGATAGTAAAGATAAAAAAAATGACATTGACTATGATGACACACAGGTTGCTTTCATGGCTGATATTGAGGTAATTATAAACCATATCTGGGTAAAGATAGTAAAGTTAAAAAGATGACATTGACTATGATGACACACAGGTTGCTTTCATGGCTGATATTGAGGTAACTATAAACCATATCTGGGTAAAGATAGTAAAGATAAAAAAATGACATTGACTATGATGACACACAGGTTGCTTTCATGGCTGATATTGAGGTAATTATAAACCATATCTGAGTAAAGATAGTAAAGTTAAAAAGATGATATTGACTATGATGACACACAGGTTGCTTTCATGGCTGATATTGAGGTAATTATAAACCATATCTGGGGAAAGATAGTAAAGTTAAAAAGATGACATTGACTATGATGACACACAGGTTGCTTTCATGGCTGATATTGAGGTCATTATAAACCATATCTGGGGAAAGATAGTAAAGTTAAAAAGATGACATTGACTATGATGACACACAGGTTGCCTTCATGGCTGATATTGAGGTAATTATAAAACCATATCTTGAGAAAGATAGTAAAGTTAAAAAGATGACATTGACTATGATGACACACAGGTTGCTTTCATGGCTGATATTGAGGTAATTATAAACCATATCTTGGGAAAGATAGTAAAGTTAAAAAGATGACATTGACTATGATGACACACAGGTTGCTTTCATGGCTGATATTGAGGTAATTATAAACCATATCTGGGGAAAGATAGTAAAGTTAAAAAGATGACATTGACTATGATAACACAGGTTGCTTTCATGGCTGATATTGAGGTAATTATAAACCATATGATCTAAATTAAACTAGAAAAGGCTTCTATATACCATTTTCAATGATAGACAAGTGTCTATACCAAATTTTCAGCTCAGAATCTATCTATGATGTCCCTATAATTATGTGGACAAAAAATGTTCATAATGGTTTACAAACAGTAACTGCCTTTTACCAACATCCATCAATACAGTAGGACTTAAATGTGTGGCACGGTTAATCAAGTTTTTTTAATAGTAAAACTTCCCAATAACTATTTCAATGATAATTCAATCATTTTGATAAAAAGGAAAGGAAAAATCAGACAATAAAAACGAGTCTTGAAATGTACCTAACTCTGTTATAAAAAGCGTTATGGATAACAACAGCACAATTATATGAAAAAAATTTATAGATGTTAAAATATTAAAGAATGTTTGTAGCTACTGAAAATGAGCTCAATGTGCATTATCTGCTACTATTGAAATCATGCCTCAATACATTTTGATATCAGCTTTTGTCATGACTTTGTACAATCCCCTCTATTGTTGCTGCTATAATGGATATATACTTAACTCACAGAAAGAGGTTCATGAACAGACAGAAGAAGAACCAAGGCCAAAACACAAAAAGCAAGAAAAGTAAGTTTTTATCAGATTAAAACTATTATCAACACTTATCAAATTAAGAAAGTTTATTTAAGTGCATTAAGTACTGTAACAACAGTTTTCCAAAAAGAAGGGAAATGGAAGAAAAAAGATAATACAAAGATTGTATGAACATTAAGTTTTTTTTAGTTTATAAAAATGCACTTATAATTGCAATCCAAACAAATATATAGCCATTTCGGTGATCCATTAAAGTCTTTGTGATAAAACATAAAGACTTAGACGTGTTTTTCAAAGAAAAAGAATTCTTATACAAATGTACTTGGATGCCAGAAATTGCCATAAAATAAAGTAACATTAATTTTGTGTGTCAATTGTAAAATGGTAGAATGGTAAGTTGTGAAAACAAATATCCCTTTAATTTTGTACATTACACATTAAGTTACTTGTACATTAGATGAAGATGGGGAATTGTCCTTTTCTCACACAAATTGACTTTCAACTTTTGTCATGCTAATCAGACACATTTTAGGAATCTTGACACATATTTTTGATAAGACACATTTGTGAGTTTTGCATATTGAACAGACATATCATGTTAAGGAGGGGTATTTGCGAAAAATACCAGTCGAGAGAATGTTAAATTTCGCGAGCCGTAAGGCGAGGGAAATTCATTCTCAAGACTGGTATATTTCGCAAATACCCCTCAAGAACATGCTATATCTGTTTAATTACACCGAATGTTAACGTTCAAAAACGCATTGATGATCGTGACGTTACAAGCGTCCAGTCGGATAGAGTATTTTTTGGCAAATACCACGGCAGAGAGGGTAAAAAAGGCATATCCTTTTTGCATATACCTCGGCGGCGTTAAAAAATGAACGATATTCATTTGATAACAGTAAATTGGTGAAAAATACACTGGCTATCAACCAATCAAAAACCAGGATTCTTACATAAGGTGTAATTATAACCAAAATACCCTCATACAGACACTAAAAATTCTCAGCAATACAATATTATTGGTGTGTTTTTAGGGAAATCCGAGATGACATAGAACAGGAGGATGTTCAGGAATCGTTCTTCAGATATATGGAGGAGAATCCTAATGCTGGTGTGATCCATGACGAGGATGATGATGTGGAATATGATGAAGATGGAAATCCAATTCTCAAACATAAGGTAAAACAATAAATTTATTGTTGATTTCAAATTAAGTAGAAGATAACAAATCTAAGCACGAGAATCAAAATTTATAACACTGACAAGAATGAAAAACTTCTTCTTCGGTTTGGTTTTGAGACAAAAATATCTCATTTAGTGTGATCTATGTACATTTGTTTTAATACTTTAATAGAATAAGAATATCCTATAACTTGAAATCTTTAGATTTTCAGAAATTACTCATCTGTATAAACCCTTATTAGGGCAATAGATATAAAGGTTTATTTAGATGAGTCTTCAAGATCAAAAAAGCATCTGAAGAAAATATATTTTTTTTTTTTTACATATACAATTTTTCCAGTGTCCATTTTATTTCTATGTAACACCATTGATACATTAAATAATAATAATACCAAACAATTAAGGTAAATGATATAAAATCAAGAAGACTTTCTTATTTCATGGGCTGACACTACGGAAAATTCTATATCGAATTTTGAACAAAGTTGCAACTGTATATTTCTTATTTACTTCAGATGATAGATCCTTTACCACCCATTGATCATTCAGAAATAGATTATGAAGATTTTGAGAAGAATTTTTATGAAGAACATGAAGAGGTTTCTAAATTAACTGATGCACAGGTCGCAGAGTTAAGAAAGAAACTTGATATCAGGGTAAGATTTTGTAAAGTAATCAGCAATGATTGATTTCTGAAAATATTGTGTTCAGGTTTTCCATCAGTGTTTTCACCAATGAGAAAAAAAAAATTGTCTTTTCAAAGAAGTTTTCACCAATGAAAAAAAAAATTTTGTCTTTTCAAAGATTAAAATATTAAAATGTTTACAAAGTGACAAAGTTCAGTATATTTTTTTTTAATGCAGAATAGTTAGACTGGTTGATTTTTGTTATTTTTGATACTTTGTTTATTTTCTTTACAGGTATCAGGATTTTCTGTCCCAAAACCAGTATGTAGTTTTGCTCACTTTAACTTTGATGAAGCATTGATGTCAGTGATAAGGAAGTTAGAATATACACAACCGACACCAATACAATCACAGGTAACTAACACCAATACAATCACAGGTAACATACACCAATACAATCACAGGTAACATACACCAATACAATCACAGGTTGGGTATATTGTAAAAAAATGTCTATATCTAGAAACAGAAAAAATCCTTTAATAAGAAAAAAATCTGAAGAAACACTGAAGCCAAAAGTCTTAAAAATCCTTTCAAAAGACAAGGAAAATGCTAATTTGAAGAAAAAAAAATATTCAATTGAAAAAAAAACTATGTTTAAAAAAGAACAAGTCCTGTAATGTTAAAAAGTACTTCAGATGTGTTTTCTAGATCTTTTCATAACTAATTGTAACATGATTCAAAATTTTTACATGTTACTGTTAATACTAAATTTTAAAATAACTTTTGACACAACAGAAAAAAAAAATTCTATGTTTACAAATTTGCAAGACTGATAACATGGACCAATAAAGCTTATTGTTATGTGAACAAAATTCAATTATTGTTTCCTATTATCCTGACTATGATTCACAAGGGAAAAGTGTGATCTAAAAATAATTTCTTTAACAGTGTTGAACCAAAAAATGTTTTCTTAAGACAGTTCTGTAAGAATATATCTATTACAGGGGGTGCCGATAGGATTGAATGGGAGAGATATAATAGGTATAGCTAAGACAGGAAGTGGTAAAACAGCAGCTTATCTTTGGCCAATGTTAATACATATAATGCTTCAGGTAATATATTTGTTATATGATTATATATTAATAAAATGTTTTATTATAGAGAGAATATGACTATATAACTTAAATTAGTGACATTAAGTCAATATTCTTTTTAAGAGAGCTGACATTTAATACTCCAGGTCAACCTATGATCACCTATATAAGACTTTTTTCTGACATCTGGTTCCAAAACTTTAAAAATATGGTACTTTTAACGGTGTTATCAATGTAGGATATATTATACATGTATTTGTAGGTTTTGGAGAAAAGCGTAATGATTTTTTTCATGTTTAAGAACTGTATTGTAAGGTGTACATGTATGTCTGACATGACCCTGAAACCATGTTTTTTTTTTGTCTAGTCTTGATGGAGTATAAAAGCGAGACATAGGTATGTTGTTTGCGGCTTTTGCGTCGGCGTCAACAATGTTTATGCAGATCAACTAGGGTAGGTCAATGATATTCGGTATGCAGTTGTTTTAACATTGGCACATCTCATTGCCATGAAGATTATTTGGCCCCTCCCCCTCAGTCATGGTCTATTTACTTTGAAACTTTTGGTTAGTTTACATGTATTAATTTGTGATTAGGTCAGTTTATGGGGAATCATTTGTGGTAGGTCAATGATATTTGGTATCCAGTTGTATTAGCATTGGTACATCTCAATTCCATGGAGATTGTTTGACCCTGTACCTTCAGTCATGGTTCATTGCCTTTGGATATTTTGCATAAATTACATGTTAAAGTATTGCTATTTTAATTTCAACATTTGCATTTTACTATCAAAATAACAAAAAGGTGGGACATATCTCTGTGTTAACAGTTTATCTTAAGTCTTCCTAGTCCAATAAGTCTTGACTGTTGTGTTCATGATATAGGAAGAAGATTTTTTAGTAACAAATCATAGAAGAGCTAAGGGAGATAGTTGAAAAAAAATTTTTTATAATTGTAAATTTAGAATTTGTAAAAAATCTGTTTGTGGTCATTCATTCTAATGGAAGATAACAATGTGTGATAGTAAGTCATCAAGATAAATTATATTGATACCTCTACAGTTTTTAGGCATCATGTTTGACATCAAGATCAAAGTTACCATGATTAAGACTTAGACTAAGATTGACCCAATCACACAGAAGGAGTTTATATGAAGATGGATTTATTATGAGTGATGTTATATCCAGAAATAATCATTTAGTACGAAAAAAAGAAAAAAAATGTGTGCAGCTATAAGCTACAATATATTTTTTATTCATTTATCTCATTACATGTATAATATCTATGTGAAATTTGACCCTGGTGAGATCAGTCGTAAGAGTTATTTAGGATGACTTACTTTATACTAAGACAACTGGAAATATGGGTACGTGGTAATTAGAAGTGTTTTGTGTTTTACAGAGAGAATTAGAACCAGGAGATGGTCCTATAGGATTAATACTGGCACCTACTAGAGAATTATCACAACAGGTAACATTTGTTTGCTCTAGTTAACTTGATAAAGTGAGATTATGCCATGTATTCAAATGACCTTCACAAGTCTAGTGTTAAACCAAGGTCCAGGACTTTCCTTGTGAAATTTCAGATAATACAAAATGAATCCTGCCAATCTCTCTACCTAACTTCTTTTTTCTATGAATTTAATTAAAAAATTGTCAATGCATTATTATATGTGTTAGATTATATGTGGGGGAATATAAAATAAAAAATATATTTTTCCTGTTGATTGCATTTTAGTTTTGAATACTTTTTCCAAATGGTCTGAGTCTGCTGACAACTTATTTTCACCTCGTGGCAATTGTTTGATTAACATATTTTAGATAAATAGTTATACCCTTGTTCTGTAAATTCAGAAATATTTGCATTGTTGTTATTTTTATTTTTTTCTCTCGAAAATATGGGACAGAAGGAACATCGCAATAATTAAAATTTGCTTTTTAATTTCTAAAAGATGTTAATCATTTTATGATGGTATGATACTAAACCCCAAATGGGAGGGAGTGTGCTTGATTTTCATATGATGAAGACATAATCTTTCAATCAGTTTAATTGAGGTCTGGAGCTGGCATGTCAGTAACTGCTTGTAGTCTTTGTTAATTTATGTATCGTCATTTTGCTTAGTTTCTTTTGTTACCTATTCTGACATCGGACTCGGACTTCTTTTGAACTGAGTTTTACTGTGCTTATTGCTGTGTGTTTGTTTATTGTACATTTGCTAGAGGTATAGGGGGAGGGTTGAGGTCTCACAAATAATGTTTAACCCCGCCACATTTTTGCGCCTGTCCCAAGTCAGGAGCCTCTGGCCTTTGTTAGTCTTGTATGTTTTTTAATTTTAGTTCATTTATATGTTTTGGAGTTTAGTGTGATGTCCATTTTCATTGAACTAGTACACATTTTTGTTTAAGGGCCAGCTGAAGCCCACCTCCGGGTGCAGGATTTTCTCACTGTGTTGGCTTTGGGCTGTTTTCTGCTCTTTGGTTCGGTTGTTGTCTCTTTGACACATTCACCATTTCCATTCTCAATTTTATAATATATTGCATTGAGTAATCACATCTTATTTAGGGTTGTCAATTATTCATTTAATAATAAATAATTAATGCATGCATTAAATTCTAAATTTAAAGTATATGTACTTTGTAGAATATATACAGTACATCAACTATTATCACTTATAACAAGTGAAATGATAACTGGTGAATCATTTTTTTAGATTTACACTGAAGTGAAGAAATTTGGAAAAGGATACAATATACAAGTGGTGTGTGCCTATGGAGGAGGTAGTATGTGGGAGCAGACTAAAGGTTGTCAAGCTGGGGCAGAAATCATTGTTGCTACTCCTGTAAGTTTTATACCTTACTTATTGTATTGACCTTTAAGCCAACATCTAAAGAGTCCTGACAAACCAGTCATGCTTCTAAATTATTGAAGGACTTTTAAATTGTAACTTTATAAAAGTGTGCTAACAATTTAATTTTACAGTAATTTATTATTCAATTTATATACTTTGAAAAATATAAACCGTTTCTGTAGTGATTTTAAATTGTCAGGTTAATAGTTTGCATGAACAATCAATAATACCTCCCAATAGTGTTAGGAATTCTATCTTTTTCACAGGAATGAGGCAAAAGACAAATTTTTGTTATAGGTGACAAGATTTATGATTTTCATAATGATCCTATACACTAAGAATTTCATCTCACATGAAACATGCAGAAACTTTTCACTTAAGCAATAAGCTAAAGTATTTTACCTGTTGATCAATTGTAGAGAGAAATTTAACTGCAGTTGGGTAAAACGTCTTAGCAAATTTGGTATTTTGAAAGGACAAAACATTTCAAATATATGCAACAAGTAATATCATAATCAGACTCACAATTAATGCTGGAAAAATATAGCACATATTAAATTTTACCTCATTAAAAATCAAGTAGACTAACAATTACAGAATAATCAGGGCATTTCTCATAAAAGTATTATATGTAACTTTGAATATTATTTTCTTAGGGAAGATTGATAGATCTGATAAAAAAGAAGGCAACAAATCTTCAGCGTGTTACATATCTAGTATTTGATGAAGCAGATAGAATGTTTGATATGGGCTTTGGTATGTATTCACTATGAAGCAGATAGAATGTTTGATATGGGCTTTGGTATGTATTCACTATGAAGCAGATAGAATGTTTGATATATGCTTTGGTATGTATTCACTATGAAGCAGATAGAATGTTTGATATGGGCTTTGTTATGTATTCACTATGAAGCAGATATAATGTTTGATATGCGCTTTGGTTTGTATTTACTATGAAGCAGATAGAATGTTTGAAATAAACTTTGGTATGTATTCACTATGAAGCAGATAGAATGTTTGAAATGAACTTTGGTATGTATTTACTATGAAGCAGATAGAATGTTTGAAATGAACTTTGGTATGTATTCACTATGAAGCAGATAGAATGTTTGATATGGGCTTTGTTATGTATTCACTATGAAGCAGATAGAATGTTTGATATGCGCTTTGGTTTGTATTCACTATGAAGCAGATAGAATGTTTGATATGGGCTTTGGTATGTATTCACTATGAAGCAGATAGAATGTTTGATATGGGCTTTGGTATGTATTCACTATGAAGCAGATAGAATGTTTGATATTAGCTTTGTTATGTATTCACTATGAAGCAGATAGAATGTTTGAATGAACTTTGGTATGTATTCACTATGAGAGTTACTTGTAATACCATAAATTGGGATATTTTGGTTGTAGACCTATTTTCGTTTATTTAATACCTACAATGCCCAATTTAACCCGCCAAAAATATGAATGCAAGATTTTCGATAATTAATACATTCTAAAATACAATATTGAATAATATAAATGACTTTAATGTCAAGAATTATGCAGAACTTATTGTAAAAATTTATATGACTTGTGCAGTATCAATTATTAATTATATTAAATTGAATACTCGACAAATAAATAATATGTTACAACTCATCAGCTTAAAAATTGAAAAGAAAATGACAATGACAAATTTCTGATTGTGATTGTGATTAAACCACTACATGCATGTTAGCTTGTGTATTTTTATTTTAATACTCAATTTTAAGTGACAAACATAACAAATTACAAATTGTATCATGCATACATTACAGAACCACAAGTAAGATCCATAGCTAACCATGTCAGACCAGACAGACAGAGTGAGTAGATCTCTTCATTCATTTTACTAAAAACAGGGAATTTCACACATCTTTTTTTGCAATTTGCCATCGATCTGAATCTTGACTTTGACTGTTTTGAATTTGTGATTTTAGGGTGTCCTTTAAAATTTAAATCAATGATTTTAAACTGTATAGCTTGTCTATCAGTGGTAACTGACGTTAAGATCAATCAAAAAAGCCTGTTTGGGTGTGCAAAGTGTGCAGTCTTTCCTGTTCATTAATGTAGATCTCAAATTATAAGTTATGACTTTATATAAGTCTGTGTGATCAGATGCAAGAATATTAACAACTGATAATGGAAGTCTTATGAGTTCAGAGCATACAATTTTAACACTGGTATACTGCCCAGCTGCCAAATTTCTTATTGTGGTTAAACTGCTTCATGCATGTTAGCTTGTGTAAACACAATTATCAGAGAAAAATGACCTTATTAAGGGAATTTTCAAAGCTTATAGATTACTGTTGATCAATAAATCTTTTGATCTGTGTGGCAGTTACAATAGGGTGGTAATCTTTATTAAAATGTTTGGACTAGCTGTAATGTAACAACCAGTGGTGGATCCAGAAATTTTCATAAGAGGGGGCCCACTGACTGCCTATGAGGGGGCCTGCTCCAGTCATGCTTCAGTGATTCCCTATATAATCAACCAAATTTTTCCAAAAAAAGGGGGGGGGGGGGCCAGGCAACAGATTCATTGCAAATTTTAATCTATTCAACATTAATGACAGTTTTTATTTCTAACATAGATTTTTCAACTTGTTGCCTGCAGCAAAAGTTGTTATAAATTGGTCATCTATATATATATTATATTCTATTTGTAAACATGATGCACAGTCTTCGTCATATGACTCTGCTTTCTTTGAAATATTTGTAGCAGCTTTATTTTTGTGTATTAATTTTTACTGCCAAAATAGCAAAAATAAAATTGCATGTACCAGTACTGTGAAAATTTCCCTGTTTATAGTAAGTAATGAATAGTGAAGACAGGATAAAAAATTATACCAAGATGGAGTTTGACAGCATTAAATTATGTGGCAATCATGGCTTTATATAAATACAAGAAGATGTGGGATGATTGCCAATGAGAAGGCTATCCACCAAAGTGAATGAAGTGGATGTAGGCAATTATAGGCAACCATATGTCCTTCAACAATGAGAAAACCCATACTGTATTGTCGGCTGTAAAAGACCCCGACATGAAAAATGTGAATCAATTCAAACGAGAAAACCAACTGCCTAATTTTTAACAAAACAATTTACGAAAAAAACAAATATGACAGACATGAACCAAGGACAACTATAGGCTTATATTTGTTATGCAGTAAGCTTTAGTACACAATTTTTGTTTAGTCCCATCTAAAGATAAACATCATAAAAAATTTAGAGACTTAGTTGTAAAAATAAAAAGGATGTATAGAAAAAGAGAGGCGAAATATACCACAGGGACATTAAAACTCATTAGTCAAAAAGAAAACTGACAATGCCATGGCAAAAAAAACGAAAAATGATGAAAAGCCCACCAAAAACAGGGTGTGATCCCAGGTACTCTGTAAGGGTAAGCAGATCCTGCTCCACATGTGGCACCTGGCTGTTGTGTTGCTCATGAAAGTACAAACATAAGAACATAAAAAACAGTGAATATTAGATGTTATCCAAGAATACAGTAATAGTTATTCCAAAACCTGCAAGTAATAGTCTGATGGAGAAGTTTATACATACAAACAAGGGTAGCAGAAATCATCTGCAGTAAATATTGGAAATAATGTACACAGAAATGTTAAATTATAATATGGTATTTCCTATTTCAGGACCGTACACACCTTAGTAACCCCTATTGTTTCAGCTTTACTTTTCAGTGCAACATTCAGGAAGAGGGTAGAAAAATTAGCCAGAGATATATTGATAGATCCATGTAGAGTTGTACAAGGCGAAGCAGGCGAGGTGAGAATACATTGTGTATTTAGAGTTGGAAGATGTTCATGGTTACATTACACAATTGTATAAAATCAATAATAGTTAAGCTGTCAGACAACAACAAATATACAATAGCTATAGACTACTGAAATTTTCTTTCTGTTGTTGAATTCATCAGTAGTTTAAATTTTAAACTTCTTACCAACATCTTGTCAGACACTTAAGATTTATTGATCTTACAAACTGAAAAATAAAAAGTATTTCCTAACTACCGTATATCAGGTATGTTTCGGGTGTGTTTAATTTTCGCTTTGTTCGCGGCAGTAAAAAAACGCAAAAATTTTACGTCGCGTAAATTTCACTGCGTATTCCCAGATTTATCATTGTTTGAATGTTTCATATATTATACTGTTGATTGTTGGGGTTTTGTGTTGTTCGGTAGATAACACGAAAGTGTATACTTAATTAAGATCTCTGTTTATATAATAATTAAAATGACTTATCAAATATTGCACACCTTTTGACAACACAGCAATCAGTGACAGGTTAAAAGATGTTAATTAGCGATGAACTATTGATTGATGTTATAACACAAACATTTTGCATCTGATGTGAAAATTAAAATCAAAATAAATCACATTTACACAGTTATTTGTTTATCTGTAATGATCAAAACCTTTAATTTTTAGAATGCCCCAATGTCTGTACATATTTTATGTTCCTTGAAAGTTCACTGAATTATGTGTATTTTCGTTTGTAGTACTCATATTTATTTGCAATCAATTTAACAATACGATACAGGTATTTTTTGGCGTGTATTTTTGCAAAAATTATACACAGTGAAAATTTAACCTGCCCATTTTGTCATCAAATCGCGAAAAAAACACGATATACAGTATATACAGTAACTCCTTAAAACAGTTGTAATGGTGAAACAAAAATAATTCAAGTAAAGAAACCGTTCAAATTTGATATTATGTATCTCATCTTCAATGATCAGTAGAGTGTTTATTCAAACAACTTTGTGTGTAGACTTAAAAGTTTGACATATTGTAGACTCACTTATCAATTTTTGAAGACTGTATGTTTCCTTCAAGATGTCTAATGGTGTCATTTACTTACTGTCTCATTAACATATTCCTAAACTCTCCTTTTTATTTATTTTTAATATATTTTTTTATACAGGCTAATGAAGACATTACACAAATTGTAGAAGTTTTACCAATTGGACCTGCAAAATGGACCTGGTTGATAAAAAGGCTTGTTGAATTTACTAGTAGTATGTTTCCTTTCTTTACAATTTTGTTTCAAAAGGTTGACTGCTGTTTCAGATAGGCATTTCTCTCAATTGTTCATTAAATATATTGCAGTCACTTAAAAGTAGAAGACAGGCTTTTATTACCAATGAGGAAATGTATTATTATTACAGCAGTAGGGTGATACAGATAATATCAATTGGCAAGATCAAAGACAAAATGTTCAAGTTATCGATAATTATGTTCATATTTTCTTGTATAGCTTATAACTGTTATTTCATTTGTACCATAACATTTTAATGCAATGTTTATACTAGTAAAAAGTGGTTATTGAGTGATAAAACTAATTAGATACGACACATTTTTCAGTGGGTAGTGTTTTGATTTTTGTGACTAGGAAGAAAAATGCAGAGGAATTAACAACAAATTTAAAAGCCAGAGATTTTAAAAGTAAGTCATGAAAAAGTATCAGGTTATTCATAATTTTACCTTAGACTTGGATTTGAAGCATACACACTCACAAAAAAAAATACTGTACGGTAATTTTTTGGGGGTAAAGATTGCAGGAAATGCAATTAAAACACTTATGTGGCTCAAACATGGTCAAATTAGAGATGTGACCTTTGGGGGTTGGAGGGGAATTGGCAGGCGAACTAGCGACCTTAGATCTCATTTAGAAATCCTTGTGACCTTTGAATATGTTTTAAAAAAAATTTACATGGATAGATGTTGCTTTCAAATTGCTTAAAAGTGATCTTGTGACCTGAGGCAATTATGAAATATGACGGGTACCCTAATTGAGCCCTCCTTTTGCTATTGGCTTGATATTTTTATCTTCCAGGGTTTATCACTACCTTTGATAGTTAAAACAAATTAGTGCAGTAAGGTGAACATTCTTTAGATCAAATTCAGCCAATGTCATGCAATTCATTAATGCTGTTTTATACTCAGATATCCAAGTTACAAACTGATGTGTTTTTGAACAACCATACTTGTTAAGAAAACCATTTTATGAAAAAATGCATGTTGTGCAGGGGAATGAATTGATCTGTTATAAAAAAAATTTGTATGGGTTCCGCGGAACCCAGTGTCTCGCCTACTTTTGCTGTTAATCGCAGGCTCAATAAAAACGAGGAAAAAAATCAATAAAAATATTCCTTTAGATGCTATCTTTTGATTGTAAGAAGCTTCTGTCAAAGTTTGGTATAAATCCAGGATAGTTTATGAATCTAGTAAATGTTTTAAAAACTTTAACTGCAGACTGTATTTAATGTTAACTGGAAGAAAAACTAAGTCCATTTATAAGTAAAATACGGATAAACATTTTAACAAAATTTCCTTCTAGATACTAGCTTTTGATCATAAACAAGCTTCTGTCCAAGTTTGGTACAAATCCTGGATAGTTTAAGAAAGTTATTAAAATTTTAAAAACTTTAACCACAGAGTGAATGTATTGTTTCCTGATGGAAAAACTAAGTCCATTTATAAGTAAAATACGGAAAATATGAAATTTTTTTTTAACAAATTTACTTCTGGATACTATCTTATGATCATAAACAAGCTTCTGTCCAAGTTTGGTACAAATCCAGGATAGTTTAAGAAAGTTATTAAAATTTTAAAAACTTTAAACACAGAGTGAATATTTGTGGACACCGCCGCCGACGGAATGTAGGATCGCTATGTCTCGCTTTTTCGACTAAAGTCGAAGGCTCGACAATGAGTCTACTGCAAATGTATTATTATGAACAAAGAAAGATAGTTCCAATTCAAAATGTATAATTTGCCTTAATGTGTATTATTGCTACATACGATTTTAAGTTCACATAGCAAAATGAAAGCAATCTTTAACCTTCAGTGCTCACAGTCACATTGATATAGATTGTACTACAGTATACCATTAAATACATTATCCCCAATCTATACATTTGAATTAAAATGTTAAATACACCAGGAAAGTCAAAAGGTTACAGTTGTTAAGAGTTGTTTTTGATGACATTGTTTCTAATAATAGGACTTAAGATTTAAAAAGTGTGATAACTCATCCAATGAGTGACAAAACAGACAATTTCCCATTTTAAATAAAATGGACAACAAATGTTGTGTATTTTTCAGTTATCTTCCCCAGATTTGCACTGCATTTGAAATTTCATATCTTAAAATCAACCATTTTTATATCCTACGCAAAGAAGGTGCAGTATGCTAATAATAACTTCATTTTTTGTCTGATCACTTGAAATTTGAATGAAGGTTTCTACTCATCAAAACCATTGATGAGTTTGAAAATCAGAAAATCTGAAACTCCATTTATGTTTATAAATATTATATCTGACTGAATATATTGATAGAATCTATTTATAACTTTCTTTTATCAGTTGGTTTATTACATGGTGATATGACACAGCAGGAAAGAAATGAAGTCATTACAACATTTAAAAAGAAAGAACTACCAGTTATGGTAGCCACTGATGTTGCAGGTATGTAAATCAAATCATTGTTTTGGTCACTAAGTCATTTCTAATAATCATCCTGGTTTTAGGATTTTAAATGTATATCCATTGTTGCCGTCCATTAACAAATATGCTGTCTTTAACTAAAAATAGAACATAGAGGGAAAATCAATAGTAATTCAATTTTTAAAATAAGGAAACATCATTGGAAGGTTGTATATCTGCCAAAATTTTACCAAACTGCAGTCAAACATGGTTGTCTTTGTTTCTAAATATAGAGTTTGAATAAAGAAACCAATAATCGTTCATTTTTTGAAGCGTAATTGGTTGCAAAAATAACATTTTGATGACTTTTGACAAGTTTGGAGGATGAGTTTTTCAACAATTCCCATGGGAACCAATGTGCTCCTCTTCTTCTTCTTCTGTTTTAGATATGTCTTAAATTTTTACATGCATGGTTGAAATATATAGCATTTAAGATTAATTATGGAATATTTTGCTACTTAAGAACAAAATGTTTTGCTGATATCTTTTAATTATAGTTATTTTCATATTAATTAATTAATATACAAGGTTTTTTTTATTCAAGCTATAGATATCAGTAACTTGAACCATAATTGTGTTCTTTTAATTCCAGCTCGAGGTTTAGATATTCCATCCATTAAGACAGTAGTTAATTATGATGTAGCTAGAGATATAGATACTCATACTCATCGCATTGGTAGAACAGGCAGAGCAGGTATATATATTAGTTTTACATAGTCTTTTCTTCAAAAGTCGTTTTTTTTTTTAAAAGAAACTTTGATTTAACAACATGTACATAAATAAGTGGTGAGAGTGACTAATCCAGAATTCTAAATGCAGTACTGATTCAAACCGATTTAATGTTAAAGACATGTCAACAAGTTTCAATACAGACAAAGACAGACATTTATATGTTTTGGAGTTTAGTATGACATCCATTTTCACTGAAGTAGTACACATATTTATTTAGGGGCCAGCTGAAGCCCGTCGCCGGTTGCGGGATCTTCTGGCTGTGTTGAAGACCCATTGGTGGCCTCCGGCTGTTTTCTGCTCTTTGGTCAGGTTGTTGTCTTTTTGACATATTCCCCATTTCCATTCTCAATTTTAAAGAAACAGTTTAACATTCATAGAATTGTCTTTTTATTTGCATCCTTCTTAAATATCTCATTGAATCAATTTTTGAAATGATGTATATACAAGCGTTAGATGATGTCATGCAATAAAGCTGCAGTTTCTATACATACATGAAGAGTTAAGTTTAAGTATACACTAATAAGAACATACGATTTTTTTGATAGTTGATTAAAGTATTTTTTGTTTTTGTTTCAAACGTTAATGAGTGCATAATATTGAAAAAATAATTCATTATTAGCAGCCAGTGTGGTTCAATTTAAAAAAAAACTAGTAAAAAACAGCACTGGTAAATTTATTGTCTTGCAAGACAATAGTTTGACCTCATTTGGTTCCTTATGTATGCAATCTTTTATTTGACACCAAGTTTGAGATTGGTTGTGCATGTGCTGAGCATGTCCAGTGATTGAAAAGAAAGTCAACTGAAAAAGTGAAACGAGGAAAGGCAGCAGCAGGGAGACTAATTACATTGATTGGTTTAACCTGCAAAAAAAGTAGTATACAGGTTATGAGTAAATGATACATCTAATTAACACGTTTTTATCGATGAAATGTAATATAATTTGTGATTCAAGGTGTTGAATGGCTGTCATTTTACCGTAATCTATTCACAGAACAACTTCCATCTACTGTCAAGTTATAGAACTGAATTGCTGTTCCTTTGACACATTGTTATATCCCACTTATGTTACTTGTATACATTTACCCTATGTCTCCTCTTTTCTAATTCTCATTACTTTAACTATGTTTTGTTGTAATTTTTAATTCAAAGGATTTCCATTCCAACCACATAATTTTTAATTGTAAAGGATTTTCATTCCAAACACATACAAATTGGAGAATCAAGGAAATTAAAGATTAATAAAAGTGCATTTTATTATGATTTCTTGATATTGGAAAATTCAAAGGTACAAAATAATATTTGATTTTGAAATTTTAGGAGAAAAGGGTTTTGCTTACACCTTAGTAACAGAGAAAGATAAAGATTTTGCTGGTAGTTTAGTACGGCATTTAGAAGTTGCCAGCCAATTTGTACCTAAAACCCTTATTGACATTGCAAATAAAAGTACCTGGTTCAAGAAGAGTAGATTCAAACATGAGAAAGGGAAAAAATTCAAACTTCAAACAGGAAAAGGACTTGGTATGAAAGAGAGGCCTGGTCTCGGAGCTGAAAATGTAAGTTTATTTATAGTTCAATAGTCCTAAATATTATTTGAAAAATGTATTACTATGCAAGGAATTGCTGTATTAGTCATGATTGATATCATATTGTAACTTTACATTAAGATTCATTAGTCTGTCACTCACACTTTATAAATGATATATCATTACATCATGTGGGTTTACAGCTTAAGTTTTAAAAGAAAGAAGGATGAGTGCTAAAAATAGTTTAAAATGGTTTCACAGTATTTTAGATAAATGTAGAGATGACTGAAGTGACAACCATTGGTATTTGAATCCAGTTGCTTATAATTTTAACCCCTATATAATTTTAAAGGGAGATTGGTTAGTTATATTAAGTCGCGATACAATTTAAGATATAGAAAAAAGTGTCAATTTGTTGAAAGTCAATTTTTAAGGAGAATTATTTTAAGACTTTTAAATATTTCAGAGCACTAGAACTCAGGATTCCACAAGTTTAAGTAGTTTTAGAGGTATTGGTAGTTCTGCAAGTACATCATCAGAGAGAATAGCTGCCATGAAACAAGCATTTGGAGTGAGTATTTTGTTTTTGAAGTATGGGCAATTTAGCTCAAATAAGCAAATTTTTATTTATTTAAGATATAGTTCCATTGGACATGTATTTTAGGAATAGTTATTTAAAAGAGACTGCACAATAATTAGAACAACATAAGACAAAAATCCTCTACATTATATTACTTGGCTTGGCCAGTTTGATAGATGATCGTAAATGGTTTTTAACCAGATAATGATCGATGGCTTTAAAGCTGGTATTTTTTATAGATCATGATCTTTAAAGCTGGTATTTTTTATAGATCATGATAGATGGTTTTATTAAAAGGTCATTATGTTTCCAGATAATGATAGATGGTTTTAAGGCCATTATGTCCTCAATATAATGATAAGTGGTTTTAAGGCCATTATGACTCCAGTTAATGATAGATGGCTTTAAGGCCATTATGTTCTCCAGATAATGATGGATGGCTTTAAGGCTATTATATTCTCCAGATAATGATGGATGGCTTTAAGGCTGGTCTGTTTTATAGATCATGAAAGGTGGTTTTAAGGCTATTATGTCTCCAGATAATGATAGATGGCTTTAAGGCCATTATGTTCTCCATATAATGATCGATGGCTTTAAGGCTATTATGTTCTCCAGATAATGATAGATGGTTTTAAGAAAGATGGCTTTAAGGCTATTATGTTCTCCAGATAATGATAGATGGCTTTAAGGCTGGTCTGTTTTATAGATCATGATAGGTGGTTTTAAGGCTATTATGGCTCCAGATAATGATAGATGGCTTTAAGGCCATTATGTTCTCCAGATAATGATGGATGGCTTTAAGGCTATTATGTTCTCCAGATAATGATTGATGGCTTTAAGGCTATTATGTTCTCCAGATAAGGATATATGGTTTTAAGAAAGATGGCTTTAAGGCCATTGTGTTCTCCAGATAATGATAGATGGCTTTTAGGCTGGTCGGTTTTATAGATCACGATTGATCGCTTTAAGGCCATTATGTTCTCCAGATAACGATTGATAGCTTTAAGGCCATTATGTCTCCAGATAATGACTGATGGCTTAAAGATAGATTGATTTAAGGTCATTCTGTTCTCCAGATAATGACAGAAGGCTTTAAGGTAGATGGCGTTCAGGCTGGTCTGTTTTATAGATCATGAAAGATGGCTTTAAGGCTATTGTGTTCTCCAGGTAATGATAGATGGCTTTAAGGCTATTGTGTTCTCCAGGTAATGATAGATGGCTTTAAGGCTATTGTGTTCTCCAGAAAATGATAGATGGCTTTAAGGCTGTTCAGTTTTAGAGATCATGCTAGATGGCTTTAAGGCTATTGTGTTCTCCAGAAAATGATAGATGGCTTTAAGGCTGTTCTGTTTTATAGATCATGCTAGATGGCTTTAAGGCTATTGTGTTCTCCAGAAAATGATAGATGGCTTTAAGGCTATTGTGTTCTCCAGATATTGATAGATGACTTTAAGGCTATTGTGTTCTTCAGATAATGATAGATGATTTTAAGTTAAAGGCTGGTCTGTTTTATAGATCACGATAGATGGCTTTAAGGATTGTCTGTTTTATAGACCATGATGATGATAGATGATCATAGATGGCTTTAAGGCTGATCTGTTTTATAGATCATGATAGATGGTTGTAAGACTGGTCTGTTTTATAGATAATGATAGATGGTTGTAAGGCTGGTCTGTTTTATAGATGAAGATAGATGGTTGTAAGGCTGGTCTGTTTTATAGATCATGATAGATGGTTGTAAGGCTGATCTTTTTTATAGATCATGATAGGTGGTTTTAAGGCTGGTCTGTTTTATAGATCATGATAGATGGTTGTAAGGCTGGTCTGTTTTATAGATCATGATAGGTGGTTTTAAGGCTGATCTGTTTTATAGATCATGATGAATGGCTTTATGGCTTGTTTGTTTTATAGATAATGATAGATGACTTTAAGGCTGGTCTGTTTTATAGATCATGATGGATGGTTTTAAGGCCATTAATCTCCAGATAATGATAGATGGCTTTAAGGCTGGTCTGTTTTATAGATCATGAAAGATGGTTTTAAGGCCATTTTGTCTCCAGATAATGATACCGTGGATTCATTATTATTTGTTGGATACCAATTTACGTTGATTTTGTGGGTACAGGTGAACCATGAATTTAAAAGTTCAATGAATTACAAGTTCTTTATAGGTTTGTAAGCAGACTTTGGCAAAACCAAGAAATCAGATATCCACGAAAATGTTACTTTCCCTCAATCCATGAAAATTGGTACCCATGAAAATAAATGAATCCACAGCAGATGGTTTTAAGACCATTCTTTTCTCCATATAATGAAACATATTTTTAAGATAGATGGCGTTAAGGCTGATCTGTTTTATAGATCATGATAGATGGTTTGAAGGCCACTGTGATCTCCAGATAATAATAGATGGCTTAAAGGCTATTGTATCCTCCAGATAATGGTAGATGGTTGTAAGGCTAGTCTGTTTTATAGATCATGAAAGATGGTTTAAGCTTGCATTTCTGTAAATATAGATAATGGAATTTCCCATTGAAACACCTTTTACAGCTAAAACGGTGCCACTTTTACTATTAAGTTTTATAAAACATCATATCCTGGATTGTAAAGTTCATATGCACTACTATTTTTTTCAAAGGACAAAACATAGGGTTGTGCAGCATATTTTCAACATTTATATGCCTTGAACTTCTAAGAGTTTAAACTTGTACTAAAATTCTATACTATCCCTCCCTTTACTCTGAGAATTCAATTTGTCCGCTATCCAACAGTTTAAGCTGGTAAAATTCCTAAGTTTTGTCTTTATGAGATGAAACATGGAGATCTTATCTGGGTACCAGTAGGTAAACAAAACAAAGTATCTATGAACCAAAAAGAGGCGTGGTTTGTGAATCAGCTGTATTTTCAAAGTGCAACCTTAAGGCTATTATATTCTCCTGATGATGATATGTAGATGGCTTTGAGGCTATTGTGTTCTCCAGTTTATTATAAACGGCTTTAAGTGACTTTTTCTGAAGATTGTGTTAGATGTCTTTGAGGCTGTTATGTCACCTTATTTTCATTCAATTCTGTTTGTTTACAAGATCCTATTAAATGGTTTAAAGGCTGTAATGAGATCAGAAGCTTTAAAGTATCACTAGTTGCCAAATTAATGCCCACCCAACTCACTCAAACTTGAAAATTGGATTTAAAACAAACTAAAACATATATCAAAATTGCAAAAGATCAATACGAAGCAATAAACAATGCTATAAAGTATCAACAATATTAACCACAAAGATGACCTCTTAAGAGTTCCAAGATGATTCCAAGTTTTGTTTGAATTCATATCATAGATAAAATATAATGTAAATTGATGTTTTTCCTGTACATGAATTTTTTTTTTGTGAGCCAAATCAGTTACCAGACCTGGTCTTGTTACTGGCTTCCCTAGTTTAACTTTTTCATTTGACATTCTTTTAAATAACTTACTATTTATATTTTCAACTGCTACTGTCAAAATTATAGCTACTGCTGCTTGGAGGCTATTTTGATTTCTGGATCACATCAAATGGCTCTCAGGCTGTAACAATTTTGATAGTTTATTTTAGACATGTTACCAAATCTTTTGAATAAGATCTTTATATTTATGGTATCGTGAGTTTCATGACCAAGACAAGAATGGTAAGAGTTGTTGCTATGAAAATTTGAATTACATTTTTTGTCTCGCCTTCACGGAGTCAAAATTGAGACATAGGTATTCTGTGTCCGGCGGCGTCAGCAGCAGCATCAACAATGTATTAGTTTGTGATTAGTTCAGTTTTGTGGGGAACCACTGGTGGTAGGTTAATGGTATTTGGTATGCAATTGTATTAGAATTGGCACATTTCATTTCCATGGAAATTATTTGATACTGCCCCCTCAGTCATGGTCTATTGGCGTCACTTTGAAACTTTTGCATAGTTTACATGTATTAGTTTGTGATTAGGTCAGTTTATGGGGAATCACAAGTGGTAGGTCAATGATATTTGGTATGCAGTTATATATGCATTGGCACATCTCATTTTCATGGTAGTTATTTGGCCCGTTCCCTCAGTCGGCATGGTCGATTGGCTTTGAAACTTTTGCAGAGTTTACATGTATTAGTTTGTGATTAGGTCAGTTTATAGGGAACCACTAGTGGTAGGTCAATGATATTTGGTATTCAGTTGTATTAACATTGCCACATCTTATTTTCGTGGTGATTATTTGACCCCACTCCCTCAGTCATGGTCTATTGGCTTTGAATTTTGTACAGACTTTACATGTATTAAGAGTGTGATTAGGTCAGTTTATGGGGAACCACTAGTAATAAGTTAATGATATTTGGTATGCATATATATATATATACTAGCATTGGCACATCTCATTTCCATGGATTTGTTCTGCCCTGTACCTTCAACAGTCATGGTTCATTGACTTTAAATATTTTGCATAACTTACATGTTAAAGTATTGCTAATTTAACTTCAGCATTTGCATTTTACTATCAAAATAACAAAAAGGTGTGACATATCTGAGTGTTAACAGTTTATTTAGTTTTACACATATCTTAATATATGTTTATATTAACATCAAATAAATTTCAGGCACAGTTCAGGGCCAATTTTGTATCAGCTTCCATAGATGGAGTCCCATCAAGAATTGGTGGTGGACTAGAAGACCCAGTAGCTAATAAGAAACGCAAAAAATCAAGATGGGAATAAGAATATTATTTACTGTTGGATATTTTAATATTTTTAGACAATATAATTGAGAGAAGATCATAAATTCAGATTTTGTAGTTAACTGACACACAAAGTACAATGTATGTGAAATGTGAGCCAAAAAACTTTAAATATTTGGGTTGTATTTATTGTAGTTAATATTTTGCTCATTGAAATTTACTTGAGAATGAAAGTTCATTGTTATAAGAGAATAACTAAAAAATAAAAAGTTGTTTTGTTTGGCAATTTTATGGAATCCATTCTTTAACATCAACTATGATGTACATGCTTTGATGCAAGATAATTGTGTCAATCCCTGAATAAGCAACCATTCATATTCATGAATTTTTATGCTTTTGTTATATTTTCCACATTGGACAACATGTTTGGTGTAGAATTTATGTAGAATTTATTAGATTCTACATACAAAATTCAAAACTGAAGAGTAGCTTGGAAAATAAATTTTATTAAAATGTTGTTTTTAAAAGCTTAGAAATAGTTACACAATATATTATTTATAATTTGTTTTCACTTCATAGTCTGGTAATTGGAGATATACATCATATTTAATGTACTGCATACTACTAGCTGTAAATCAGCAAACAAAATAAAACTTTGTGAGTATCATCCCATTTTTTATGCCTCACCTAGGGGCATTATGTTTTTCGGTCTGTGCCTCCATTCGTTCATCTGTTCGTCTGTCTGTCCGTTCGTCCGTCTGTCCCGCTTCAGGTTCAAGGTTTTGGTCAAGGTAGTTTTTGATGAAGTTGAAGTCCAATCAACTTGAAACTTAGTACACATGTTCCCTATGATATTATCTTTCTAATTTTAATGCTAAATTAGAGTTTTGACCACAATTTCACGGTCTATTGAACATAGAAAATGATAGTGCGAGTGGGTCATCCTTGTACTATCAGGGGCGGATCCAGGATTTTAGGTTAGGGGGGGCGGGGGGTGCAAACTGTAACATTTTTTTTGAGGTAAAATTATGGAAATATTCTTTATTGAGCTGAGGACAACCCATGCTTTGCTAATCTTAGGGGGCACGCCCACCACGCCCACCACGCCCCCTCCTGAATCCGCCCCTGACTATGGACACATTCTTGTTTACTGTTATTTTAATGCAGAACAAATGAGAGATCCAATAAACGTGATTGTAAAAGTATATTTTTGTTTGAAATTGTGGCTTCATAAATAGACTGATCAATTAAAAGGAAATGTTAAGGAATGTTAAAAAAATTACTGTATTTTTTGCATATATTTCAGTTTGCTGTTTTAAATATGCAAATAGTTAATATTTTGTATTCATCTAATTCCTCATTTATCATGATCCACTTGAAACAATTAAAAATATTAAAATCTGAAAAATGTGTTTGATTGTTTTACTGTACTTGTATAATAATGTCAATTTTCATAGAAAGCAAGCAAAACTTTGGCTCTTTGACTCTTTCATTATTTCAAACTTGGTGAAGTGCAAAGCAAAAAAAGGTTTGAGTTTTGATGGTTCCTCAGAATAAAATATAATATTTTGATTTCACTTTGTATGCCTTGCCCACTTCTAACAGCTGTAGTGTTTGAAAAATTGAAGACAGTTGAGTACTCACACAACTAGTTATACCTTGCTACATGTTTATGTTCCTGTCCCCTGGATATTCACAAAACTAGTTTTATCCTTCTTTATGTTTATGTACCTGTCCCCATGGAACTCATATAACCAGTTTTGCCCTGCTACATGTTTATGTTCCTGTCCCCTACATACTCTTAAAAATTAGTGTTACGCAACCAAATTTTTATGTTCCTGTCCCCTGGATACTCATATAACTAGTCTTACCCCACACATTTTTATGTTCCTGCCCCCTGGCCGCTAGGTATTCACAAAACTAGTTTTACCCTGCTATACATCTATGTTCCTACCCCCTGGGTACCGGTACTTACAAAATTAGTTTTACCTCGCCACATGTTTATGTCCCTGTCCCCTTGGGATTCACAAAAGTAGCTTTACCCTGCTAAATTTGAATATTCCTATCCCCCCTGAGTACTCACATAACTAGTTTTACCCTGTAATATGGTTATGTTCTTGGCCTCTGAGTACTCACAATAGATATAAGAAGATGTGGTATGAGTGCCATTTTTACTCTGTCACAATTTAAAGTTTCTGTCCCCTGGGTACTCCAAAAAATAGTTTTACCCTATCACATGGTTATGTTCCTGTCCCCTGTGTACTCACAAAACTATTTTTACTCTGCCAATTTTTTATATTCCTGTCCCAGTCAGGAATCTTGTAATTGCTGCCTTTGTCTTTACATTTTATGTCTGTTCAAATTGTGGTCCTCTTGCTTTATTATTTGCTATCTTTGTTAAATTCATTCACAACTCAAGACTCGGGATGAAAGTGTAGGCCCTTGTCTTTATGACCATTTGAAGATCCTTGATGTCTATTTTGGTTTACTTCTATTGTTGAAGTGCAGTATCATTAACATTTATTTCTTGTTTTCTTTTTATACATTTTCCAGAAATGGTCATTTTTGGCTGTTAAGTTAATGCCCATTTTAATTGATGCTCACACAAGTTTTGGCTACCAAGACCTTTTATTTTATCATGCTGAGTCGTGTATGCTAAAATCAGAGTAAAAATTTTTATTACTACCAGTTTGTACTTCTGTTGGTGGACTATTTGTCTTCAATGATACCAACCAGGAGCAATTGCTTCTGTACTTGCACCAGTTAAATGATTGATTTTTACTTGAAATAACCTTATAGAATTGTACTTAAACTGAGTTTGTATCTCTCATAGACGAGGTGAATTTTTATCGTTTTAAGATGTTAAGTTTGTTCTATTTTGGATGTTATGGATAGGCTCTTGTTTAGGTCCATTTTGGCTGTTATGTTTAGGCTCATTTAAACTGTTATGAACAGGCTAATTCAAACTGTTATGAATAGACCCTTTTGAGTTGATGCTTTTATCCACTTGATGCACTAGGGTTTGAATTCTCAAGTTTACTAGATGAACTTTATTAAAAAACTAATTCTACCCTCTCACATGTCTATGTTCATGTCCCCAGGGTACTCACAAGACTAGTTTTACCCTTTTACATGATTATGATTATGTTCTTGTCCTCTGGGTACTATCAAAACTGTTTTTTTTTAAATTGTCCAATTAGTCATGCTTTACTGACTGGAATTTTCTTATAGTTGACATGTTAAATTTTCTGATTAAGTGTGTGTATGAAAAAGTATTTTGCATAAACATAAGCATCACTTCAGTTTCTGGACGAACATGAGGCTCTATCCTTGTTGGTAGCATAAATAAGATGCAATAGAAGTTTTAACTGGTAAATTCATTTGGACGTAAAGCAAACAACAATTAAAAACCAATTGTTCAGAGAACAATTGAAGGTCTTTCCACAAAAAAAATGTATTTTAATATGAAAATAGTAAAATTCATTTTAAAATGTCATTTCCAGCTTCAAATGATAGCTTATTGTATGCTGATTCCAAAAATATATGGTTTCTATACAATATTTTTTAAATTAGGATGATAATTTGTTACTTCCTGTTTGAAAAATGTTACTTCTGGTATTATTCAAACGTTTAATTGACACTGATACCAAAAATATCTGGTTCTATAAACTTTAACATTAATTAAGTACAAAAAAAGCTACTTCCGGTTTACACAAGGTCACTTCCGGTTGGCTTTTCTAAGGTTAAATGGCTTGAAACCTAATGCAAAAAGTCCCATGGATTTATCATGTATACATATGAGGTAAAAGCAAAGGTCAAAATCTAGAACGTCAATTTAACCTATGACCTTGAGCTCAATTTCAAGGTCATCAACCAAGGACCAAAAGACCCTAGGACTTAATTATATTTGGTTCATGAGTTATATCACCATATGCATATTTTTGAATAAAAGAGGGGAGAAAACTCTAATTTGATGTAAGCGTACCCTTTAAACCAATATGTATGTGTTACGACATGTCGCAACTAACAATTAAGTAAAAATATGTTGTCGATATCTTATATCGTGTTTGAAAAGAGGTGAAAATAAGCCAAAATCCAAATTTAAAAATGACCTTGACCTTTGACCTTGACCCTATTTTCTTTTTTTTGGACCAAGGACCTCAAATCAAAAGACCCTAGGTCCCCATCCTTATGGTTTACCAGTTACAATTACATTTTACTTATTTTAAATACAGAAGGGGAAATAACTCTCATATGGAGTTTCTGGACCACTTCAGTCAAAATTATTCTTAAGATCCTGAGGATATAACGAACAAATTGGAGACATAAATTTGTCATAATCTTTTACAGTTGCGAAGGAAATGCGTACACAAGAAAAACAGTGTTTGGGGAGATAACTCTTACAATAAAAAGTATTCGGCTAAACAGGGTCAGTTTCAAAATCGCAATAACTGTTGGATATCATACACAAAAAATCTAAGCGACATCTTGCGAAACAAAAAAGTACCATCAGTAAAAAGTGGCGGAAGAAGAAAAAAATAATAATAATTAAAAACCAATTGTTAAGAAAACAATTGAAGGTCTTTCCACAAAATAAATGTATTTTAATATGAAAATAGTAAAATTCGTTTTAAAATGTCATTTCCAGCTTCAAATGATAGCTTATTGTACGCTGATTCCAAAAATATATGGTTTCTATACAATCTTTTTTCAATTAGGGAGATAATTTGTTACTTCAGGTTTGAAAAATGTTACATCTGGTATTATTCAAACGTTTAATTGACACTGATACCAAAAATATCTGGTTCTATAAACTTTAACATTAATTAAGTACAAAAAAAGCTACTTCCGGTTTACACAAGGTCACTTCCGGTTGGCTTTTCTAAGGTTAAATGGCTTGAAACCTAATGCAAAAAGTCCCATGGATTTATCATGTATACATATGAGGTAAAAGCAAAGGTCAAAATCTAGAACGTCAATTTAACCTATGACCTTGAGCTCAATTTCAAGGTCATCAACCAAGGACCTTAAATCAAAAGACCCTAGGACTTAATTATATTTGGTTCATGAGTTATATCACCATATGCATATTTTTAAATAAAAGAGGGGAGAAAACTCTAATTTGATGTAAGCGTACCCTTTAAACCGATATGTATGTGTTACGACATGTCGCAACTAACAATTAAGTAAAAATATGTTGTCGATATCTTATATCGTGTTTGAAAAGAGGTGAAAATAAGCCAAAATCCAAATTTAAAAATGACCTTGACCTTTGACCTTGAGCCTATTTTCTTTTTTTTGGACCAAGGACCTCAAATCAAAAGACCCTAGGTCCCCATCCTTATGGTTTACCAATTACAATTACATTTTACTTATTTTAAATACAGAAGGGGAAATAACTCTCATATGGAGTTTCTGGACCGCTTCAGTCAAAATTATTCTTAAGATCCTGAGGATATAACGAACAAATTGGAGACATAAATTTGTCATAATCTTTTACAGTTGCGAAGGAAATGCGTACACAAGAAAAACAGTGTTTGGGGAGATAACTCTTACAATAAAAAGTATTCGGCTAAACAGGGTCAGTTTCAAAATCGCAATAACTGTTCGATATCATACACAAAAAATCTAAGCGACATCTTGCAAACAAAAAAGCACCATCAGAAAAAAGTGGCGGAAGAAGAAAAAAATAATAATAATTAAAAACCAATTGTTAAGAAAACAATTGAAGGTCTTTCCACAAAATAAATGTATTTTAATATGAAAATAGTAAAATTCGTTTTAAAATGTCATTTCCAGCTTCAAATGATAGCTTATTGTACGCTGATTCCAAAAATATATGGTTTCTATACAATCTTTTTTCAATTAGGGAGATAATTTGTTACTTTCTGTTTGAAAAATGTTACATCTGGTATTATTCAAACGTTTAATTGACACTGATACCAAAAATATCTGGTTCTATAAACTTTAACATTAATTAAGTACAAAAAAAGCTACTTCCGGTTTACACAAGGTCACTTCAGGTTGGCTTTTCTAAGGTTAAATGGCTTGAAACCTAATGCAAAAAGTCCCATGGATTTATCATGTATACATATGAGGTAAAAGCAAAGGTCAAAATCTAGAACGTCAATTTAACCTATGACCTTGAGCTCAATTTCAAGGTCATCAACCAAGGACCTTAAATCAAAAGACCCTAGGACTTAATTATATTTGGTTCATGAGTTATATCACCATATGCATATTTTTAAATAAAAGAGGGGAGAAAACTCTAATTTGATGTAAGCGTACCCTTTAAACCAATATGTATGTGTTACGACATGTCGCAACTAACAATTAAGTAAAAATATGTTGTCGATATCTTATATCGTGTTTGAAAAGAGGTGAAAATAAGCCAAAAACCAAATTTAAAAATGACCTTGACCTTTGACCTTGACCCTATTTTCTTTTTTTTGGACCCAGGACCTCAAATCAAAAGACCCTAGGTCCCTATCACTTATGGTTTACCAATTACAATAACATTTTACTTATTTTCAATACAGAAGGGGAAATAACTCTCATATGGAGTTTCTGGACCGCTTCAGTCAAAATTATTCTTAAGATCCTGAGGATATAACGAACAAATTGGAGACATAAATTTGTCATAATCTTTTACGGTTGCGAAGGAGATGCGTACACAAGAAAAACAGTGTTTGGGGAGATAACTCTTACAATAAAAAGTATTCGGCTAAACAGGGTCAGTTTCAAAATCGCAATAACTGTTCGATATCATACACAAAAAATCTAAGCAACATCTTGCGAAACAAAAAAGCACCGTCAGAAAAAAGTGGCGGAAGAAGAAAAAAAAAATAATAATCATAAGAAAACCAATAGGTCTTTTCACAGGAAAGTGGAAAGACCTAATAATCAGAAGAAAACCAATAGGTCTTTCCACAGAAAAGTGGAAAGACCTAATTAATGGAAATTACCATCCAACAGAGATTAAAAACAACAACAAACAAGAGGCTCTCAAGAGCCTGAATCCCTCACCTGTATTTCAGAGGAGAAGATATTTAAATGTTAGCAAACTTGATGAACAAATTGTGTAAAATTGTCTTTAAAGGGCAATAACTCCTTAAGGGGTCAATTGACAATTATGGTCATATTGACTTTTTTGTAGATCTTACTTTGCTGAACATTATTGCTGCTTACAGTTTATATATATCTATAATAATATTCAAAATAATAACAAAAAAATGCAAAATTTTGTTAAAACTACCAATTCGGTGGCAGCAACCCAACAATGGGTTGTTCGATTCGTCTGAAAATTTCAGGGCCGATAGATCTTGACCAATTTAACAATTTTACCCATTGTCACATTTGCTCTAAAAGATTTAGTTTTTGAGATATAAGCCAAAAACTGCATTTGACCATTATTTTCTATTTTTAGCCATGGCGGCCATGTTTGTCAATGGATACAAACTTCGGATTCAATTTATAAACAAGATACCCTAAGGAACATTTATTGAAACTACTGGGCCAAATACCTTCAAACTTTAACTTAATGTTCCTTAGGGTATCTAGTTTATAAATTGTATCCGAAGTTATGATCCATGGACAAACATGGCCGCCATGGCTAAAAATAGAACATAGGGGTCAAATGCAGTTTTTGGCTTATATCTCAAAAACTAAAGCTTTTAGAGCAAATCTGACATGGGGGTAAAATTGTTCAATTGGTCAAGATCTATCAGCTCTGAAATTTTCAGACGAATCGAACAACCCATTGTTGGGTTGCTGCCACCGAATTGGTAGTTTTAACAAAATTTTGCAGTTTTTTGTTATTATTTTGAATATTATAATAGATATATATAAACTGTAAGCAGCAATAATGTTCAGCAAAGTAAGATCTACAAAAAAGTTAATATGACCATTATTGTCAATTGACCCCTTAAGGAGTTATTGCCCTTTAAAGACAATTTTACACAATTTGTTCATCAAGTTTGCTAACATTTAAAAATCTTCTCCTCTGAAACTACTGGGCCAATTACCTTCAAACTTTAACTAAATGTTCCTTAGGGTATCTTGTTTATAAATTGTATCCGAAGTTTGTATCCATCGACAAACATGGCCGCCATGGCTAAAAATAGAACATAAGGGTCAAATGCAGTTATGGCTTATATCTCAAAAACTAATTTTTTTAGAGCAAATGTGACAGAGTAAAATTGTTTAATTGGTCAAGATCTATCGGCCCTGAAATTTTCAGACGTATCGAACAACCCATTTTTGGGTTGCTGCCACCGAATTGGTAGTTTCAACAAAATTTTGCAGTTTTTATACGACCGCAAAAATTGAAAATTTTTTGGTCGTATATTGGTATGACGTTGGCGTCGTCGTCGTCGTCGTCGTCTGGCGTCGTCCGGCGTCGTCCGAAGACACATTGGTTTTCGCACTCTAACTTAAGTTTGAATGGATGGATCTCCATGAAATTTTACCATAAGGTTCAATACCACGAAAGGAAGGTTGGGATTGATTTTGGGGGTTATGGTACCAACAGTTAAGGAATTAGGGGCCAAAAAGGGGCCAAAAATAAGCATTTTTGTAACTTCCAGACAATAACTTGTGTGTAAGTGTATGGATCTCTCTGACATTGTACCACAAGGTTCCATATCACAAAGGGAAGGCTGTAATTGATTTTGGGGGTAATTGCCTCAAAATTTTAGGAAGTTAGGGGCCAAAAAAGGGGCAAAAAACAAGCATTTTTCTAGTTTCATGACAATAACTTGTGTGTAAGTGTTTGGATATTTCTGAAATTGTACTACAAGGTTCCATATCACAAAGGGAAAGCTGGAATTGAGTTTGTGGGTAATTGCCCGAAACGTTTAGGAATAGGGGGCCAAAAAGGGGCCAAAAATAAGCATTTTTCTAGTTTCCAGACAATAACTTGTGTCAAGTGTATGGATCTCTCTGAAATTGTACTGCAAGGTACCATACCACAAAGGGAAGGCTGGGATTGAGTTTGGGGGTGATGAATCATAAGGGGGTTCAAAAAATTTGGGGGGGGGGGGGGGTTTCTTTTTTTTTCTTTTTTTCCTTTTTTTTTTTCTTTTAAAATTTTCCATTTTAAGTTGGTTATTTCTGATTAATATTTAAAAGCAAATAATAATGATATGGAAGAAGATACACACCAAACAGGATGTGTAAATTATTATATAATAAGTATTGTGCAATAGCAAGAAATTTTCAATTGCACAGTATTGCACAATTGCAAGAAATCTTCAATTGCACAGTATTGCGCAATAGCAAGAAATCTTCAATTGCACAGTATTGCGCAATAGCAAGAAATATCCAATAGCACAATATTGCGCAATATTGCGCAATAGCAAGAAATTGTCAATTGTACAGTATTGCACAATAGCAAGAAATATTCAATTGCACAGTATTGTGCAAAAGAAGATACTTCATATAAATTGCTTATTTCTTGATCAATTTCAATGGGGTTTTATTCTTGAATTCTTGGGGTTCTTTAATATGCTGAATCTAACCAAGTATTAAGTTTTTGGATTTTGAGCCCCGTTTTTAAATTGGTCCACATTGAAGTCCAAAGGGTCCAAAATTTAACTTTGTTTGATTTCATCAAAAATTGAATTATTGGGGTTCTTTGATATGCCGAATCTAACCGTGTATTTAGATTCTTAATTTTTGGTTCCGTTTTCAAATTGGTCTTCATTAAGGTCAAAAGGGTCCAAAATTAAACTTAGTTTGATTTTAACAAAAATTGAATTTTTAGGGTTCTTTGATATGCTGAATCTAAACATGTATTTAGATTTTTGATTATGGGCCCAGTTTTCAAGTTGGTCCAAATCGGGGTCCAAAATTAAACTTTGTTTGATTTCAACAAAAATTGAATATATGGGGTTCTTTGATATGCTGAATCTAACCATGTATTTAGATTTTTGAATTTTGGGCCCCATTATCAACTTTGTCCACATTGAGGTCAAAAGGGTCCAAAATTAAACTTTGTTTGATTTCATCAAAAATTGAATTCTTGGGGTTCTTTGATATGCTGAATCTAACCATGTATTTAGATTTTTTATTTGTGGACCCGCTATCAAATTGGTTCATATTGAGGTCAAAAGGGTCCAAAATTAAACTTTGTTTGATTTCATCAAAAATTGAATTATTGGGGTTCTTTGATATGCCAAATCTAACCGTGTATTTAGATTTTTAATTTTGGGTCCCGTTTTTAAATTGGTCTACATTAAGGTCCAAAGGGTCCAAAATTAAACTTAGTTTGATTTTAACAAAAATTGAATTCTTGGGGTTCTTTGATATGCTGAATCTAAACATGTGTTTAGATTTTTTATTATGGGCCCAGTTTTCAAGTTTGTCCAAGTTGGGGTCCAAAATTAAACTTTGTTTGATTTCAACAAAAATTGAATATATGGGGTTCTTTGATATGCTGAATCTAAACATGTATTTAGATTTTAGATTTTTGGCCCAGTTTTCAAGTTGGTCCAAATTGGGGTCCAAAAATAAACTTTGTTTGATTTCAACAAAAATTGAATATATGGGGTTCTTTGATATGCTGAATCTTACCATGTATTTAGATTTTTTATTTGTGGGCCCGCTATCAAATTGGTTCATATTGAGGTCAAAAGGGTCCAAAATTAAACTTTGTTTGATTTCATCAAAAATTGAATTATTGGGGTTCTTTGATATGCCAAATCTAACCGTGTTTTTAGATTTTTAATTTTGGGTCCCGTTTTTTAAATTGGTCTACATTAAGGTCCAAAGGGTCCAAAATTAAACTTAGTTTGATTTTAACAAAAAATGAATTTTTGGGGTTCTTTGATATGCTGAATCTAAACATGTGTTTAGATTTTTAATTATGGGACCAGTTTTCAAGTTGGTCCAAGTTGGGGTCCAAAATTAAACTTTGTTTGATTTCAACAAAAATTGAATATATGGGGTTCTTTGATATGCTGAATCTAAACATGTATTTAGATTTTAGATTTTTGGCCCAGTTTTCAAGTTGGTCCAAATTGGGGTCCAAAATTAAACTTTGTTTGATTTCAACAAAAATTGAATATATGGGGTTCTTTGATATGCTGAATCTTACCATGTATTTAGATTTTTTATTTTGTGGGCCCGCTATCAAATTGGTTCATATTGAGGTCAAAAGGGTCCAAAATTAAACTTTGTTTGATTTCATCAAAAATTGAATTATTGGGGTTCTTTGATATGCCAAATCTAACCGTGTTTTTAGATTTTTAATTTTGGGTCCCGTTTTTTAAATTGGTCTACATTAAGGTCCAAAGGGTCCAAAATTAAACTTAGTTTGATTTTAACAAAAAATGAATTCTTGGGGTTCTTTGATATGCTGAATCTAAACATGTGTTTAGATTTTTGATTATGGGACCAGTTTTCAAGTTGGTCCAAGTTGGGGTCCAAAATTAAACTTTGTTTGATTTCAACAAAAATTGAATATATGGGGTTCTTTGATATACTGAATCTAAACATGTATTTAGATTTTAGATTTTTGGCCCAGTTTTCAAGTTGGTCCAAATTGGGGTCCAAAAATAAACTTTGTTTGATTTCAACAAAAATTGAATATATGGGGTTCTTTGATATGCTGAATCTTACCATGTATTTAGATTTTTTATTTGTGGGCCCGCTATCAAATTGGTTCATATTGAGGTCAAAAGGGTCCAAAATTAAACTTTGTTTGATTTCATCAAAAATTGAATTATTGGGGTTCTTTGATATGCCAAATCTAACCGTATTTTTAGATTTTTAATTTTGGGTCCCGTTTTTTAAATTGGTCTACATTAAGGTCCAAAGGGTCCAAAATTAAACTTAGTTTGATTTTAACAAAAAATGAATTTTTGGGGTTCTTTGATATGCTGAATCTAAACATGTGTTTAGATTTTTAATTATGGGACCAGTTTTCAAGTTGGTCCAAGTTGGGGTCCAAAATTA